CTCTTGATGCCTTCTCTGGAGCTGCTGTATCCACACCATAATGGACAAGCCCAGGGAAGATGTTGGTGTCAACAGGGTGGGATATTTTAAAAACCCAGAAGTAAATGGCCTATGAGCAGTTTCCAGGATCTGTCTTTGGTTTCTACATTTACCTGACATTTTAACAATACATGTATTGGCTTTGCAGCAGCAACGAGAGTGATCTGCTCTGTGTCAGCTTTTACATCTGCCTTTTTTTTTTTAAAGCCATACTCATTTCATATGCTCAGTAATTCAATTCAGATTTGAAAGGAAATATATGAGAAATTAATTGGCAGGACAGCAGCAGTAATAAGCTTTGCTGTGAAAACTCCAAAGGAAAAGAACTGAAGACTCAGTAAGATGATGGAGTCATTGGCAAAGCTTGCAAATTACCTCAGCAAACGTGCAACTCTGGAACAAGAGAGGGGGACCCATAGAAATTATATGAAAAGATTTAACTGCAGTGAGACAGTCTTCCTGACCCCTGCCTTGTTATTCACAGGTCCAAAGTTGTGCTAGGTACCTTACAGAACATATAGCAAGACACCATCCCTGCCATGAAGATCTTCCAATTTTCAATATGTCTAATATTTGCTCTTCATGGTTAGGGATCTCTTTCTGTATTGCTAGACCAAAGCTCCCTGGACGATCACTTTGCATTTTGGAGACCAGCAAAGTGCTCACAGAAAATCAACTTTCAGTATCACATGTCCCCTACTGTAAAAATATGCAAGACAGAAAAGACAAACCAGTGGGGTGTGAAGAGTGACCTAAAAAACTGGGTCACATTTTTCATCCACAAGTTTTTTCATTGAAAAATGCAGATTCATGTCAACTGAAACATTGCATGAATTTGTGTAAAATTTGCTGAATTGTTTTAGTCAAAAAAAGAACAAACAAAAAACCTCAAATTTAAAAAAATCAAAACTTCATTTTGACATTTTTGAAAGGAACCTGTTGATTTATTTTATTCAAAATGTTGTTTGAATTTTACCTCAACTTTGTTTTTTAAAAAGGTTAAAAACTCAAAAACTAAACAGAACATTTTATTGCGGGTTGAACAAAATGTGTTTTGTCCCTCTCCGCACCCCAACTATTTGTTTTCAGCAAAAACAATTCATTTTGAATCAACCCAAAATTAAATGTTTTGGTTTTTGGTTCATCCCATGAATTTTTGCACAGTTCTATGACTGGCATTTTGCTAAGTGGACAACAGCTTGCATTGGCTTTGAAGTGCAATATTCACTGATCCAAAGCCTGTTGAAGGGAGTGAGAGTCTTTCCATTGACCTCAGTGGGCTTTATATCAGGCCCTAAATGCCAAAATCCTATCCTGTCGTGTGAGAATATCCTATGAGAGGCAAGCAGGAGCAAAGCAGGAAACAGGCCTAGTGCTCCCTTAAGTCTTGGGGTATGTCTACACTACGGAATAAGGTCGAATTTATAGAAGTCGTTTTTTTAGAAATCGGTTTTATATATTCGAGTGTGTGTGTCCCCACAGAAAATGCTCTAAGTGCATTAAGTGCATTAACTCGGTGGAGCGCTTCCACAGTACCGAGGCTAGAGTCGACTTCCGGAGCGTTGCACTGTGGGTAGCTATCCCACAGTTCCCGCAGTCTCTGCTGCCCATTGGAATTCTGGGTTGAGATCCCAATGCCTGATGGGGCTAAAACATTGTCGCGGGTGGTTCTGGGTACATATCGTCAGGCCCCCCGTTCCCTCCCTCCCTCCGTGAAAGCAAGGGCAGACAATCATTTCGCGCCTTTTTTCCTGAGTTACCTGTGCAGACGCCATACCACTGCAAGCATGGAGCCTGCTCAGGTAACCGTCACCCTATGTCTCCTGGGTGCTGGCAGACGCGGTACGGCATTGCTACACAGTAGCAGCAACCCCTTGCCTTGTGGCAGCAGACGGTACAGTACGACTGGTAGCCGTCATCGTCATGTCCGAGGTGCTCCTGGCCACGTCGGCTGGGAGCGCCTGGGCAGACATGGGTGCAGGGACTAAATTTGGAGTGACTTGACCAGGTCATTCTCTTTAGTCCTGCCTGCAGTCAGTCCTATTGAACCGTCTTATGGTGAGCGGGCAGGCGATACGGACTGCTAGCAGTTGTACTGTACCATCTTCTGCTGAGCAGCCATGAGATGTGGATGGCATGCAGTCCTTCTGCACCGTCTGCTGCCAGCCAAAGATGTAAAAGATAGATGGAGTGGATCAAAACAAGAAATAGACCAGATTTGTTCTGTACTCATTTGCTTCCCCCCCTCCCCTGTCTAGGGGACTCATTCTTCTAGATCATACTGCAGTCACTCACAGAGAAGGTGCAGCGAGGTAAATCTAGCCATGTATCAATCAGAGGCCAGGCTAACCTTCTTGTTCCAATAAGGACAATAACTTAGGTGCACCATTTCTTATTGGAACCCTCCGTGAAGTCCTGCCTGAAATACTCCTAGATGTAAAGCCACCCCCTTTGTTGATGTTAGCTCCCTGAAGCCAACCCTGTAAGCGCCCCTCCCAGCGTCAGAGCAACGGCAAACAATCGGGCATCTGAGAGTGCTGTCCAGAGCAGTCACAATGGAGCACTCTGATGGGGCTAAAACATTGTCGAGGGTGGTTCTGGGTACGTATCGTCAGGCCCCCGTTCCCTCCCTCCCTCCGTGAAAGCAAGGGCAGACAATCATTTCGTGCCTTTTTTCCTGAGTTACCTGTGCAGACGCCATACCACGGCAAGCATGGAGCCCGCTCAGGTAACCGTCACCCTATGTCTCCTGGGTGCTGGCAGACACGGTACGGCTTTGCTGCACAGTAGCAGCAACCCATTGCCTTCTGGCAGCAGACGGTGCAATACGATTGGTAGTCGTCCTCGTCGTGTCCGAGGTGCTCCTGGCCACGTCGGCTGGGAGCGCCTGGGCAGACATGGGCCAGGGACTAAATTTGGAGTGACTTGACCAGGTCATTCTCTTTAGTCCTGCAGTCAGTCCTATTAAACCGTCTTATGGTGAGCGGGCAGGCGATACGGACTGCTAGCAGTCGTACTGTACCATCTTCTGCCAGGCAGGCAAGAGATGAGGATTGCTAGCAGTCGTACTGTACCATCTTCTGCCGAGCAGCCATGAGATGTGGATGGCATGCAGTCCTTCTGCACCGTCTGCTGCCAGCCAAAGATGTAAAAGATAGATGGAGTGGGTCAAAACAAGAAATAGACCAGATTTGTTTTGTACTCATTTGCCTCCTCCCCTGTCTAGGGGACTCATTCCTCTAGGTCACACTGCAGTCACTCAGAGAAGGTGCAGCGAGGTAAATCTAGCCATGTATCAGTCAGAGGCCAGGCTAACCTCCTTGTTCCAATAAGAACAATAACTTAGGTGCACCATTTCTTCTTGGAACCCTCCGTGAAGTCCTGCCTGAAATACTCCTTGATGTACAGGCACCCCCTTTGTTGATTTTAGCTCCCTGAAGCCAACCCTGTAAGCCGTGTCGTCAGTCGCCCCTCCCTCCGTCAGAGCAACGGCAGACAATCGTTCCGCGCCTTTTTTCTGTGCGGACGCCATACCAAGGCAAGCATGGAGGCCGCTCAGCTCACTTTGGCAATTAGGAGCACATTAACCACCACACGCATTATCCAGCAGTATATGCAGCACCAGAACATGGCAACGCGATACCGGGCGAGGAGGCGACGTCAGCGCGGTCCCGTGAGTGATCAGGACATGGACACAGATTTCTCTGAAAGCATGGGCCCTGACAATGCATGCATCATGGTGCTAATGGGGCAGGTTCATGCTGTGGAACGCCGATTCTGGGCTCGGGAAACAAGCACAGACTGGTGGGACCGCATAGTGTTGCAGGTCTGGGACGATTCCCAGTGGCTGCGAAACTTTCGCATGCGTAAGGGCACTTTCATGGAACTTTGTGACTTGCTTTCCCCTGCCCTGAGGCGCATGAATACCAAGATGAGAGCAGCCCTCACAGTTGAGAAGCGAGTGGCGATAGCCCTGTGGAAGCTTGCAACGCCAGACAGCTACCGGTCAGTTGGGAATCAATTTGGAGTGGGCAAATCTACTGTGGGGGCTGCTGTGATGCAAGTAGCCCACGCAATCAAAGATCTGCTGATATCAAGGGTAGTGACCCTGGGAAATGTGCAGGTCATAGTGGATGGCTTTGCTGCAATGGGATTCCCTAACTGTGGTGGGGCTATAGACGGAACCCATATCCCTATCTTGGCACCGGAGCACCAAGCCGCCGAGTACATAAACCGCAAGGGGTACTTTTCAATAGTGCTGCAAGCTCTGGTGGATCACAAGGGACGTTTCACCAACATCAACGTGGGATGGCCGGGAAAGGTGCATGATGCTCGCATCTTCAGGAACTCTGGTCTGTTTCAAAAGCTGCAGGAAGGGACTTTATTCCCAGACCAGAAAATAACTGTTGGGGATGTTGAAATGCCTATATGTATCCTTGGGGACCCAGCCTACCCCTTAATGCCATGGCTCATGAAGCCGTACACAGGCAGCCTGGACAGTAGTCAGGAGCTGTTCAACTACAGGCTGAGCAAGTGCAGAATGGTGGTAGAATGTGCATTTGGACATTTAAAGGCGCGCTGGCGCAGTTTACTGACTCGCTTAGACCTCAGCGAAACCAATATTCCCACTGTTATTACTGCTTGCTGTGTGCTCCACAATATCTGTGAGAGTAAGGGGGAGACGTTTATGGCGGGGTGGGAGGTTGAGGCAAATCGCCTAGCTGCTGGTTACGCACAGCCAGACACCAGGGCGGTTAGAAGAGCACAGGAGGGCGCGGTACGCATCAGAGAAGCTTTGAAAACCAGTTTCATGACTGGCCAGGCTACGGTGTGAAAGTTCTGTTTGTTTCTCCTTGATGAACCCCCCCGCCCCTTGGTTCACTCTACTTCCCTGTAAGCTAACCACCCGCCCCTCCTCCCTTCAATCACCGCTTGCAGAGCCAATAAAGTCATTGTTGCTTCACATTCATGCATTCTTTATTCATTCATCACACAAATAGGGGGATGACTACCAAGGTAGCCCAGGAGGGGTGGTAGAGGAGGGAAGGAAAATGCCACACAGCACTTTAAGCACAGCACTTTAAAAGTTTACAACTTTAAAATTTATTGAATGACAGCCTTCTTTTTTTTGGGCAGTCCTCTGTGGTGGAGTGGCTGGTTGGCCGGAGGCCCCCCCACCGCGTTCTTGGGCGTCTGGGTGTGGAGGCTATGGAACTTGGGGAGGAGGGCGGTTGGTTACAGAGGGGCTGCAGTGGCAGTCTGTGCTTCAGCTGCCTTTGCTGCAGCTCAACCATACACTGGAGCATACTGGTTTGGTCCTGCAGCAGCCTCAGCATTGAATCCTGCCTCCTCTCATCACGCTGCCGCCACATTTGAGCTTCAGCCCTCTCTTCAGCCCGCCACTTACTCTCTTCAGCCCGCCACCTCTCCTCTCGGTCATTTTGTGCTTTCCTGCACTCTGACATTATTTGCCTCCACGCATTCGTCTGTGCTCTGTCAGTGTGGGAGGACAGCATGAGCTCGGAGAACATTTCATCGCGAGTGCGTTTTTTTTTCTTTCTAAGCTTCACTAGCCTCTGGGAAGGAGAAGATCCTATGATCATTGAAACACATGCAGCTGGTGGAGGAAAAAAAAAGGGACAGCGGTATTTAAAAAGACACATTTTATAAAACAGTCGCTACACTCTTTCAGGGTAAACCTTGCTGTTAACATTATATACATAGCACATGTGCTTTCGTTACAAGGTCGCATTTTGCCTCCTCCCACCGCATGACTACCCCCTCAACCTTCCCCCCTCCCTGTGGCTAACAGCGGGGAACATTTCTGTTTAGCCACAGGCAAACAGCCCAGCAGGAATGGGCTCCTCTGAGTGTCCCCTGAAGAAAAGCACTCTATTTCAACCAGGTTACCATGAATTATATCTCACTCTCCTGAGGATAACACAGAGAGATAAAGAACGGATGTTGTTTGAATGCCAGCAAACATACACTGCAATGCTTTGTTCTACAATGATTGCCGAGTACGTGTTACTGGCCTGGAGTGGTAAAGTGTCCTACCATGAAGGACGCAATAAGGCTGCCCTCCCCAGAAACCTTTTGCAAAGGCTTTAGGACTACATCTAGGAGAACCGCAAATGCCAGGGCAAAGTAATCCTTTCACATGCTTGCTTTTAAACCATGTATAGTATTTTAAAAGGTACACTCACCAGAGGTCCCTTCTCCGCCTGCTGGGTCCAGGAGGCAGCCTTGGGTGGGTTCGGGGGGTACTGGCTCCAGGTCTAGGGTGAGAAACAGTTCCTGGCTGTCGGGAAAACCGGTTTCTCCGCTTGCTTGCTGTGAGCTATCTACATCCTCCTCCTCATCATCATCTTCTTCGTCCCCAAAACCTGCTTCCATATTGCCTCCATCTCCATTGAAGGAGTCAAACAACACGGCTGGGGTAGTGGTGGCTGAACCCCCTAAAATGGCATGCAGCTCATCATAGAAGCGGCATGTTTGGGGCTCTGACCCAGAGCGGCTGTTCGCCTCTCTGGTTTTCTGGTAGGCTTGCCTCAGCTCCTTCAGTTTCACGCGGCACTGCTTCGGGTCCCTGTTATGGCCTCTGTCCTTCATGCCCTGGGAGATTTTCACAAAGGTTTTGGCATTTCGAAAACTGGAACGGAGTTCTGATAGCACGGATTCCTCTCCCCAAACAGCGATCAGATCCCGTACCTCCCGTTCGGTCCATGCTGGAGCTCTTTTGCGATTCTGGGACTCCATCATGGTCACCTGTGCTGATGAGCTCTGCATGGTCACCTGCAGCTTGCCATGCTGGCCAAACAGGAAATGAGATTCAAAAGTTCGTGGTTCTTTTCCTGTCTACCTGGCCAGTGCATCTGAGTTGAGAGTGCTGTCCAGAGCGGTCACAATGGAGCACTCTGGGATAACTCCCGGAGGCCAATACCATCGAATTGTGTCCACAGTACCCCAAATTCGAGCCGGCAACGTCGATTTAAGCGCTAATCCACTTGTCAGGGGTGGAGTAAGGAAATCGATTTTAAGAGCCCTTTAAGTCGAAATAAAGGGCTTCATTGTGTGGACGGGTGCAGGTTTACATCGATTTAACCCTGCTAAATTCGACCTAAAGTCCTAGTGTAGACCAGGGCTTAGTCAGGGAGTGTATTGATAATCCCCTGGCAACTCTCAGTAATCCCGAAGCAGCCAGTATGGGACCAATTCAGACCTTTGTATACCCCAGGGGCTATAATCAGCATTAGATGATGGCAGCAGGTCTATACTACTACTTTTTTGGAGTAACAATGAAGAGTACATTGCTTTCCCAGCTCCCTAAACTGTCCTGACCTGCCCAGGCAGAATGTCTCCTAGGCCTTCTGCCCATTCACTATTTTTCCCCATCACACCACATGCTCCTAGAGGCATGAGTTTGCCCTACGTATTATTATTAATTGACCCAAGCATAAGATGTTATCTTTGTAGCCAGGTCTGGTAGACTTAAAGCAGAAGCATCTTTAAATTAGTCTGTCAGCACTGAAAGGAAGTGAAAAGAAGTCCCAAGTCACTGTTATGTTGTTCTTTGGTAACTACATGGGATTCATGTGAGGCCAGGGGCAGCAGCATGGTCCCTTATCTGCTTCACAGGAGGGTTCTATGCTGCCACCTGGTGTGGTCTGCCCATGCCAGCTGAGTGGCTGATGTATAGCACACTACTATAATATAATATATAATATAATATAATTTTATAATAATAAATAACGTTGCTAAGAGCTTGTCTACATGGAGATGCTATTGCAAAATAAACTAAAGTGTGAATTTAAAGCGCAGTAGCTATTCCACACTAACTCCCCGTGTGGATGCTCTTATTTTGCACTGAATGTGCTTTTTAGCAGCTTATCATAATTCACCACTACACTAAGGCACTCCTCGTGTAGGATATGAATGTCCACATGGGATGCTATTGCAGGCTATTTCCCTGTCTAGACAAGCCCTGAGAAGAAGTGAAGACTCTTTAAACCACTAGGCTGGCAGGAGAGTCCGATGGTGGTTCTGCATGGTAGAGCTGTTCCTAATAATTGGTATCTGACTGATTTTTAAAAATTCTTTGAAAATGGAGGAACATTCATTTCCAATTGCAGTAGTGATGAGTGGACAGCTCTCTTCCACCAAATTGAAATTGCCTGCATTTTTGGTAAAGACTCTGAAGGGCTACATAGCTCAGCCCCTGAATCTCTGCATTTTGTGGCACTAACTTCGTGGAGTTTGCTGGGGAGGAGGAGGGAAGGGTTTGATGCCAAAAGCCATGCTGGAAGATGGAAATGGGGAGATTTCAACCCTGAGCATATCTGCGAACACTCAGGACCACTTGTTGAAATATCAGTTTTACCATGTGAAATCTCTTCGTTCCTGATTCCGGGATTCCCTGGGGCTGATGTACAGGAGCCATAAAGCCAGCAGATCGCCCCACAGGGGAATATTCCCAATGTAAGCAGGATTCCCCCTACAGTGCAGGGCGGGCAGAACAGCCTTACAGTGCCTCTCATCTCCCAGTTTAGAGGGCCTGACAAATCCATGGCTTGGGGAGGGAGATGGGAGGGATGTGACTGGAGCATAGTGCACTTTTAACTCTTCTTAGCTCTCTGCCTCAGTCAACTATACATCACAGCAGCCCCTAGGGATGATCTAACTTCTGCTGGGCATCAGAATAATCCAGCAACTGGGAGGACACCAAAATGTCATAAAGCTACACTGCCCCCCTTACTCCTCACATACACACTCCTCAGCTGCATAGAGCTCAGCATCAGGGCCAATATCATTGGATTATTGTCATATTTGGAATGGCAACACTGAAAGATGTGCTATGGACTGGTGGGACTGCAAATAGGAGGCTGCATCTGTGGGGGGATTATATTCTATGGCAGTGGTCCCCAAACTTTTGAGGGCTGTGACCCCTCTTACCCCTGTCCACACACACCCTCTCTCCCCCTCCCCCGCCGAGCCAGGGCCGGGAGCGGGGCCGCGGCTCAGGTTGGGAGGGATGTGGATGGGGTAAGGGGGCTGAGGATGGGACTGCAGCGGGGGGGTGGGTCTGAGGCAGGAAGCAGGGCGTTGGCTGGGGGCGGAGGTGGAGCAGCAACCAGGCCACAATGGTGGCCAGCAGCTGAACCCCTGGCCAAGTGCTGAGGCTGGGGATGGGACCAGGTGCAGGACCGGGTAGCACTCCCTCCCTGCCCCCTGTGGAGGCTGATCTGGGCCCACTCTGCCCCCCTGAATGTTCCTCTATTCCCCCCTAGAGGGGCATGCCCACAGTTTGGGGACCTCTATTCTCTGGGTATGCCTACACTGCAATCATGGAGTATGACTGCAGCTTGAGTAGCCATACTTGAGCTAGATTTAGTGCAGCTAGCTCAGGTCCTGGTAGGAGGAAAGCTGCAGCAGCACATGTGAGGGTAGAATTCTGAGCATGCTGTTACACTGACGTTGCTTAGATGTAAATGACTATCTGAGGTCAAGGGAGAACCAGACCCCCGTATCCATAAAGAGGTGGCGAAGGAACACCTTGTAAGATCAGTAGGGCCAGAGGAGATGAACCTAAGAGTCTCTAAAGAACGGAGAGAAAAAAACTGAAGAATAGCTCACAGTCTTGCTGAATATAACTTGGAAACAGCCAAGGCAGCCGATGCAAGAGGAAATGCTAATGTAGTTTCAATTTAAAAAAAAAAAAAAATGATCCACTGACCAGCTACTGTTTCAATAGCAGGTAAAATCTTTAAACCAAGAGAAGAAGAATGTGCATGTATATATGTAAGCGTTTAGGAGAACATCCTGCTGAGGGATAAATGTCATGGAGCCATAAAATATAGATCCTGTCAGTGACTTCTATGTAACTGTGAGCTTGGTAGATGTGATTCAGCTTTTTTCAGTAAAGCTTTTATACATTGCCACATTAAAAACAGAAGTTGGCAAAATAAATATCCTGTGGGTAAAAAAATAGCTGACAGGTTGTGAATAATTATTAATGATGTAACCTCCAACCAGGTGGAGCTCTCTAGTGGTCTCCTACAGGGATTGGGCTTGCATTCTTCAATAGATACATTGCAGGAGGTTAGACTAAGTGATCAGAATGGTCCCTTCAGTCCTTAAAATTAATGATTAGTGGTAATCTGGAGGACCCCCCCCCTAAAATGCACACCAGCTGCATTCAGAGGGCATGGCTATACACAATCTTGCCCTCTGTAAATGGGCTGGTAACTTCCCAAAACAGCTGCAAGAGCCCTGCCTCCATTTCCCCACATCTCAGGGTCTTCCTCAATAAAACTACCAAGCAGCTCTTCTCTGGTTCATCAACACCCCTCCTTGGGGCTGGTTTTATTCAGATAACCAAATCATTCCCATAATAGAGTTCTCAAATTTCCATTAAGCCCATCCGCCACATCTTTCCTGCTGTGGGTCTCCCAGGCCTTCCTCTTCCTGGAGTGTTTTCCTTAAGGAAAATGCTCCTAGTAGCCATTCCATGCTTTGGCAAGCCTCTGTTAAAGTCTCTCAATCCAGCGTCACCCCAGTTGTCTCTGGGTACATCTAGACTGCAATGAAAAATCCCTACCACCAGGCCTCAGAGCCTGGGTCAGCAAATTCAGGCTCACAGGCTATAAAAATGCACTGCAGGCATTCAGGCTCAGGCTGGAGCCTGGGCTCTGAGACCCTCCTACTTCATGGGGTCTTGGAGCACAAGCTCTAGCCTGAACTAAAACATCTACACTGTAATTGTATTGCCCTAAAGCCCCATTCAATTAACCTGGGCAGACTAGCCATCTTTTATTGCTAGACCCTTTCTCTCCCCACACATCCCCCTCAGTCTATAGCTTTCTGTAGCTCTTTATAGGGGAATCAGTTCCTCTGTACCCAGCTGGTTCTATTAAGTAAACCCCACGCCCCATTCTAGGAGTGATGGGCTCCAGGCCTCTGGCCCTTAAAGGCCAGGACCCCATCACATAGCCCTGCCTTTAGTTAAACTAGTGCAAACCCCTGTGGGGGTTAGATAAAACTAATTTTATCAGTTTAGCTTGACCATGTAAATTCACAGGTTTAAACTGATTTAAGAGTACCCATATTGCTCTGACTTAACTAAACTGGTTCAAAATTATGCCTTCAGTTAATGCAAAGTTAGTGCAACTTTGTGTGTATAGCAGGACCTCAGAAAATACCACTCTGGGATTGATGGGAAACTCCAGAGAAGATTGCTCAGAGCTACAGAATGACTCACCAACTATCTAGAAGTGGGTGGATATAACTGAGGTGAGACTTTGTATAAACAAACATGACATAATAAACTTTGGGAGAATTAACCAGCAGGAATACCAAGGGCAGGCTTTCAGTATTACTGAAAACTAGTACCACATTACTGCTGAGGTCACAGTGGGCACCAGTTCATAATGTTATACTGCTGCTAAACAGGCAAATGCTATCCCTGGGGATGTAGAATCCCTCATATGACAAAGCTACTTTATTCAGTCATGCCAGAATTGCATTTGACTGTCCGCAGTTTTAAAAAACACCAATATTTAGAGACCCTAAAAAGGAAAAATAAAATAACAGGGGAACTAGGAACTCTAACGCATTAGCAGGAAATCCTGGAACTTGGGCTATGTCTACACTGCAATAAAATCCCAGCCATTGGCTGGGTGAGTGGTCTCAGGCTTGCAGGGCTCAGGCTGTGGGGCTATAAAATTGCAGTGCAGATGTTTGGGCTCAGGCTG